TATGAGGGGTATCTCCACTGCTTTTGCTGCTTCATATATCTGCGTTATAATTAGTTAGAATTAGTATTACTAACAACTATGATAACAAATTACAATACATTTAACGGACTTTGAGACAGTCACAAATGACCAGCCTCTATTACCTGATAGCAGGTAAAATACAAACATAAAGATATATAATTTTAATTTATTGTGAAGAATAAATAAGTGGGACACAATAATGATGTGGATGAAATTTATTATTATTTATTTTGAGTTTTTACAGCACTAGTGGCTTTTTTTTTTGACAGTAGGCTGACAGGAAAGGGGGTATACGGGAGAGACATGCGGGAAAAGAGTACAAGTCGGATTTGAACCCGGGTCGCCTGCGTCGAGGACTTAGACCTCCATATATGGGTCGTACGTGCTAACCACTGCTGCACCTGTACACCCATATTTTCAACTTTTTAAACAAAAAATAAAAAACAATAAAAATTGGGTGTGCAAAGTTATGCAGTCCCCTTGAGTTAATACTTTGTAGCACCACCTTTTGCTGCAGTTCGAGTTGCAAGTCACTTTGTGGTATGTTTCTAATAGTTTTCCCACATAAAGAGACTGAAAATTTTGCCCATTCTTTCCTGTAAAATATCTGGAGCTCAGTGGTTGGATGGAAAGTGTTTCTGAACAGCAGTTTTCATTTCTTTCCACAGATTCTCAGTTAGATTCAGATCTGGACTTTGACTTGGCCATTCTACCACCTGAATATTTTTATTTGTAAACCATTCCATTGTAGATTTTGCATTATATTCTGGACAATTGCCTTTTTGGAAGATAAATCTCCATCCCAGTTCCAGATCTTTTGCTGACTCCAACAGGTTCTCTCCCAGAATGGTCCTGTATTTGGTTCCTTTCTTCGTCTGATCTATTTTAACCATTCCTGACCCCAATGAAGAAAAGCAGGCCCAAACCATGATGCTGCCACCACTATGTTTGACATTGGGCATGGTGTGTCCAGGGTGATGAGCTGTGTTGCTTTTACGGCAAACATAATGTTTTGTGTTCCTGCCAAAAAGTTTGGTTTTGTTTGCTTCAAACAATACTTTTTATGGAAATCATTAACAAATGGCTTTTTTCTATAGAGTCCAGATGTATGCAGCATACACTGCAGGTTTAGAGGAACGGCTGGGTCTTTGTAGATTGCAGTGGTCTGATACTCCTTCCATTTCAGTATTATCACTTACCTCTTCAGTCTTTTTTAGTTGTCAAAAAAGTTTAAAATATCCAATAAACTTCATTCCACTTCATGATTGCGTCCCACTTGTTATTTCTTGACAAAAATAAATAAATAAATAAAAATCATATCTTTAAGTTTGAAGTCTGAAATGTGGCAGAGGGTTCTGTATTATTGAAATCTTTGGGTTTTACCCTGTATGTGGGAAGCAGAAGTACTTACAATATTTTTTCAGCTTGCTGAATTATGTTTTTCAGTTTTTTGAAATATCTGATTTGTTCTTACAGGTACAATAACAATTTATTCCCAGTGTTTGTGAGATAGGTGTTAGTGTTATTTATCAGTTTTGTCCCAGTGTTCACAAGTGTTTACCTATAAATGAAATTCCATGCATGAAACTTATTTTGCTTTATTTTCAATGAGAGAAGAGGGGATTTTTGAGATCTGAGACAGAAAAATAACCAGCTTTTAAAGCTGGAAGCTAAAGCTTTAAATCCAAACCCCAATACAAAAATGCAATATGTCTGCTGTGTGCATAAAATAGGGAGATAGCTGCAGTAATGAAGTTTTTACCTTCCATGATTTATATCACAAAGTCTAACAAACACAGCGCTGTAAAACACATGTTTTCAAACATGTATATTATATTATTGCTGATAAAGCTTACACTATGCAGAGGGGTTGGCAGATTTTCCAACTTTCAGCTGGTAAACAGTGTTTTCTGTACAGGCTAAAAGTCAGAATTCAGATCTTTGAATGATGACACAACCAACTACTTTATTGTAGTGGTAAAGTTAGAAAAGCAGTGGGATTGGTTCACATATTCACTGAGGAACCAGGCAAACTACAGCAAAATGTCATGGTCGGATTTATCCTTGTTTTCTTTTTAATTTAAAACCCAAACAAATATAATAATTATACAAAATTATCATCTATATAATATAATCGTATAATATAATACAATCTAACATATCTAAGGTAACATGTGCACCACTGTTTTGATAACACACAAAGATTAGAAAAGTAAAAAGTGGTTCTTGCAGCAACCAGTGGCCACCATGTTGGATTTTGAGGTTGCTGAGGAACTTCCTGATATTCCAGGTCATAATAAAAGCATGCATCTGATTTACATATGAGAGCTTTAAATTATTTGTGGATATTTAATATCACTGAAAACACCCCCACAGTTAGAATGGCAACACATATACAGACGTTTTACATCCGTGTTTATAAGAAGAGAGCCTGACCAACATGCTGAGATCCAGAGAGCTGTCTGAGAAAACTGGAGCAGTTTAAAACTTGTGTACGGGATTAAAGAGGGCTCCAAATAATTTTCAAATCAGCTATTAATCTGTAATGAAAATACTTGACATGCTTACAAGAAATCTGCTAACATGCTAAGATCTGAGAATCCCGGAAAGTTTGGTCAAAAACCAGAATACAAGTGTTTTAAAACCCCCTAAAATGTTATCATGGAGCCTCCAGCTGACTGCTGCAGAAGATTGTTTCGGCAATCAGAACGTTTTTAGAAGGTGTCTAAGGAGAGCAAAGGTTCCCGCCAGAATAAATTTCGCCTAAGAGATTATAGACTTTATCAGTTTAAAGAAATAATCTTCTTTGGACTAATGCGTCCATCCATATATGGCTTATTTAGACATCAGAACAGAGGACATGTTTGTCTTAAGCTAAATGCAGCCTTCCAGAACCTCATAGCGACTGTAGAGCATGGAGGTATCAGAGTCTAGATGATAAATGAACTCCAGTTCACCTTGATTCTGCTGCTGAGCAGGACTTATTAGTAAATGTAGAAGTTACCAATCCGTGAGCAGAAGTTAGGAGAACCCCACGAACAAACATCCACCTCTGATTTGAATTACCGTGTCTCTAAAAAAGTTTGTTGCACGTGTGATCAACCCTTCAGACCCTTTCAATGCTTTGAATGTGTCTTTTTTCCCTTCTTCATGCTGCTTGTGAGGCATCTCTCTGATCACCATGGGGGCTGTTTCTTTCATGATGCTGTTGCCATGGAGGCTTGTGAACTGCTGCATCTCTGCATCCTTTTTTTTATTTTGTCCTTCTGTGATATCAACATGGCAATGGATCAGATGATGCTGAGGGGTAAAATTAACTGGTAGGGGATGGAGGTTACAAGGGGGTGGATTTTTGCTGGTGTGCCCCATTATGTCATGGATTACCCCCTCCTCACTGCTGCAACTGTGTTACTGTTATCCCCCCTTTTGTGACGATAAGCCCCAAATGTGAGGCTTTGGCTGAGCGGGAGTCATACTGGAACCCGCTGGCGTGAGGAGTTTTCCCTCGCCTCACTCATTCAGAGTGCTGACACAGACACTATTTTCACACATACACTGAAAATGCAAACTCAGGGCTTTGATGAAGAGCTAAAGGGTCAGGGAAAATTAATACTCTAGATCCATACAGGTAGTTACCTTTTCTTTTATTTTGGAAATTCATTAAAGAAGTGTTGGTTTTTCTGATTTTTGTTGAAATAAATTGGTGAGTTCGGATCTGGAGGCTGCATCACTGCTGAGCAGCTGCTAGTGACGGCAGGATGTTTCCAGCAACATGTGCTCCAGACAGGACTCCACGGATCATTTTCTGCAAAATTGTTTATATATATATATATATATATATATATATATATATATATATATTTTTTTTTTTTTTTTTTTATTTCAACACATCTTTCCATCAAACAAAAATAGTGGGTGTGAAATGCATGAGGTAGTTTAAATAGATTTTGAAACGTACAACTTATAAGTTCATCCTTATAAGATTGGGTCAATCAATGTAATCACTTTCTCACTAATCCTAAATCTAGGTGTTAAAAAATAAAAAAATGAAGTTATTTAATTTTTCACAACTTGTCTCATAATTTTTGTTGTTTTGTTTTTTTATGTTAAGACACTTAAAGGTCCCTAAACTGATGGGGTGAATGGGTTTTAAATTTACATATACAACTGTCATGAAAAGCCATATTTAAGTAACATAGGATTTTTTATAGCAGCATTCCAAAAGAACATGAACTAATGCATGACAAAAACTAAGCTTACAACATAAGATCAAAGTAATAGCTGTTTTGAAAGTGAATAAAACTCATATGTCAACTTTGTTGAAGCTAAACAGAAAAGGAACATGTTTTAGAACACCAAATATTGTCTATGTTGGAAGTCACAAATGGTAGAATTTTACATAACTACCCCGTCAGAGCTTCTTCACGTCTGTCTTACATTAAGTTGCGCAACTTTAGCACCTGTAATCCACCCCACGACAATTGGACTTCGTGCCAGAATCCGTCTCCCTTTCTTGGTTTGGCTCAGAAGCAGATTCATGTTCCACCAATGTTATACAAGGAACAAATGTGTACCATAATGCCCAAGCTACCATGCTATAAACTGCACAGAGTTAAATTCAGTGCTGTCCAGTCGGCACAAAAACTGGACCCAAAAAGAACAGTCCATTAGAAGCTGCATCCTTTCTCGTCAGGCCAGTCCACCTGTCCCCTGATTTATTACACTTAAAAGGGATCAGTGACCTACAAGTCACTTCTATGCTATGCGGATGTGTTTCAATCAAAAACAGGTATTAGGTTGGTAATGGAAGGTTTAAAGAAAAAAAAAAAAAAAGTATACCGTATGCATATGAGCATAAGATTAATTTTAAAGAAAAGGAAGCTGACAGCTGTTGGAATAAATGCATTGTCAAAAGCTACATCTAAATATGCATCAATAAAATTATCGTTTAGATTTTTAAAGATACAGCAGCACAACTATTCTCTACAAGATGTGTTTTTATTCAACTCACAGTACATTCTACAGATGCACACGTGTTACATTACCTTAATACAACAGAGTCCTGTAATACCTCCTCTTAAAAATGATGAATTGGTCCTAAAAATATAAAGAATCAAATTTAAAGTCACCAAAACTGTACATTATTAAAAATTCACTTAACACCACATTTGGTTGTCATGTCTTTTTTTTCTTCTTTTTTTAAACATTTTCTAAAAATAAGCACAAAACAAAACAAAAATGTTCAGTGTAAGGAGCTAGTTTAAATAAAACCTAGACTGTGGAGTCATCCTGTCATCTTGGTGGCAAACGGATCGTGCCGTGCAGCATCGTATGTTGGCCCATGTTCGGCACAGAAAAAAAAAGGAATGTAAGACACAAAAAAAAAAAGGCTGTTATCTGCCTGGTACTTCATAAATCAGCTTGTTTCCAATTCTAGTCATTAAAATAAAATTTCCATCAACTTTAGACATTTATCTGATCAAATAAGCTAAAAACAAAAAGGCCTTAAAGTTTCAGGGTTTTTTGTTAGACATGCACAAACGTTCTTAAACCCTGCAAACAACAGTAAACCTCCCCGGATCCAACCAACACGGCCTATTTACAGGAACTGGAGTGTTTCTTTTTATTTCTTTTGGTCAGAAGGATCGACTGCAACTAGCGGTACGGCTGCTCTTCATAGGCGGGAGGAGAGTCAATCTAAAAGTCTACATTGAAAACAAAAACGCCCGAGCTTCTATCTCACAACAGCAGCAGGTGAGGTTTGGGTAAAATTATTTATACAATGGTGAAAAAACGACTTGTTGTGTGCGTGCAAGACTTTTAAGTGGAGGTTATACAACATCTACTGGTGACAGTCCAACAACAGATTCCTTTAAGTTTCACTGGCCTTTTTTTTTTTCTTTTTTCATAAAATGTCTAAACATCTCTATTGGGTCGTCTGTACACATCCACTACGAGCTATTGCTATTAAATAATCCCAGCTATTGTAATCTGTATATATTTATGTATAGAATATATAATAAAAATATAGTGAGCCATTGAAAAAAATTACTCCTAGGCATAAGACCACATTACATTACATTTCCAAACAACAGGTAAGAAATGCTGAGAAGAGTCTGGATCCGTTTAGTTGTTGGGTGGTGCTGAGCAGCTCCTGGTGCCAAACAATAGGATGCAGAAATGTGGTCCTTCATGAGGGCGGTCCATCAACCTGGAGCTGGAACTGACACGCAGCTCGTCATGAGAAGTGACAGGAGGGAAGGCAACATGAGGGGCTGAGGTTAAAGTTTAGACACGCAAGGTTAAGAGTGACGGACACGTTGTCACTTGATGGGTGGGTGGGGGGGTTGTAGAAAAGATTCGACCTGTCGAGGAAACGATAACAGACAAAGAGCCAAAACCTATACATATATACCTATACATGAGATAATACATGGGGCTGGAGCAGAACTCCAGGGAGTCTTAGCGGTACTGGAGCGTGCGGCTGGAGCAGCAGAGCACCAACAGTCTACAGCGCCACCTTTAGGGAAATGATCGCAGGCTCCTGTCAGTCCTTGTTTGAGTAGAACTCCGCCCAGCGGCTCTCAAAGAAGCGTCTCATGGAGTGCCCTGCCATCCCCACCTCTGACGTGTCCTCATTGAACAACTCACAGTTGTTGAAGACCAGCTGGGCATCAGCCGCAAACTCATCGCAGCTGCAATACCTGGGAGGGAGAGGAAGAACATGGTGGGGCGGTTACACAAACACACAAAACAAATACTAATAATGATAAAAAGGGTTAAAAACGTAACATGAATCTAAATATTTGAAGAATTGATAGTCTGTCCTTCTTGATAGACTATATACTGTGCGATACATTTCTGCTTGTTTATTAGGAGCATATTATGTCAAAAACTCAGATTATGATAAGAGCCAAATAGGGCTGAAACAATTAATTGGATTAATCATGATCAATCGATTATTGAAATAATCATCAATTCATTAAGTAATCGATTAATCGTCAACTTGGATATATCGACTAAAATATAAGATATGCCTTTAGCTGAAATTAAAAAGAAAATGAAAAAGATCTCAGTCCTTTTCTTACCACCACAGAGCAGGAGTCACTTAAAGGAGGCTTTTTACCATCATTATAGAAAACTTTTTCTATAACTCAAACCATTTTTCTTTATTATGCATTATCTATTTTTCTGAGAAGTCATAAAGATACTCAAATCCCACCCCAATGAGTACATATATGTTCTCTAATTAGGGACACTTTAAAGGCACACTATGCAACATTTTTCAGTTAATTAATGTGTTCCATAACGTTTTGGACGATTGAATGAGTCATTTCAGTTTGAACAAAGGTATTCTCGGCCGCCCTGGTGGTCTGTGGGGGAAATACCGCACTTGCAATTGCAGGAGCCCTCGGCCCGCACCCACAGGCTCAGAACTCTCGCGAGAGTCTGTCTTGGCTTTACGGCGAGAAATGCTACACGCCCCCAGTTAAAAGCATGCTCGTTGCAAGCACAGTGGCGATCTTTGTGCAGTTATCATGGCGGAACCAGCGTGAAAACAGCGAAAGCCCATGTCGGAGCAGGCAAGAAAGAGGAAAAGGGCCCCGGACAGAGAGAGGAGTCGTACACGGGTGAACATCGGGCAAGCTTTTTCCGAATGGCGAGAGCTAAAATAAAAAGAAGGCTGCAAGGCTGACGCGGACCTTATGTTTCTGCTGATGCGATTGTAAGTAACATTGGAATGGTTTCTCTCTCTCTGTGTGCATGTTCATACTTTCACTGTGTTAGTCATACATTGCGTTCACCTGTCTGCTAAGCTCAAAACAACCGCACCTGGCTTGACGGAGAAACCAGGAGAACAGCTGAGCATATTTACGACAGTGCACTTTTACTTTCGCCCTCTAGGGGGAGCCTCGCTGGAAAATCAACACTGGTTGCATAGTGTACCTTTAAATTCCAATCTGTAGTTGGATTATGCAACTGAAATAAAAGAGGATTTAGTTTTAAAGCATATTTCCCAGTAATGCAATGAATGAGCTTTAGGGTTCTCCTCCATAATTGGACATTTTTTTCCCCTGTACCACGCCTTTTTCAGCAACCATAATGTAATGAATGTGTGGAAGCTAAACATCCCAGAAAAGATCATATGGTCTTACGCTCCCTGAAGCAGTCTCTCTCTCATGGTGAGGAAATCCATGGGATTCTTGATAATGCGCCGGTAGCCCGGCACCAGTCTGGGATTGACGGGTTCCAGGAAAGGCCAGGCGTCTGCGTGTGCCTCCATCTCCATTAGAATGATCCTGGTGGGAGGTGGAGGAAAATGAGGATTACATTCATCATCATATTACAGCATTAAAAATGAGGACCTTTAAAAAGTATTTCTGGACAGAACAGTAACATACTCGCAGAAGGTGAGGTCGGGTTGGTTGCGTGTCATCATGCGGCGCCTTTTACTGCTGCTTCCTTCTCCAGAGGGACGGGTGGACGACGAAGGTGCGGGGGTCTCTTTGTGCCGCGTTGCCATGCCGCCGCTACGTCTTCTTGTCGTCTCGTCCTCAGAGCTGTCCTCTTCATACCTTCTCTTCTTTACCCTGGTGCGCTTTTTGGATGAACCCTGCGACTCGCCCTCCATCTTTACAGACAACAACAAACCAAAAAGTAAAAAGCGTCATAAAACTGAAGGGAAACACAGATGTAGAAAAGGAAAGCGATTTTCCTTCCATATCACCTTAGGGACGCAGGTTGGACAGAACCAGTCCCCTTCAGGAACCTGGGTGATTTTGGGCTTCAAGCAGTACATGTGGCAGCCGCGGTCACAGCCGTCACACAGCAGCAGGCACTCATCATTGTCCCCCTTCCTACAAACCTGGCAGGTCTACAGAAATAATGCTTATATGAAAATCATCTGCAGAAATAATTCCCTCTTTGCTCTTTTAGATTTTCTAACATTAAAACCACCCACTGCAGTGCATTTGGGGAAACTGTATGAGGTTCAACCAACATAGCTTCTAAGCAGTGGCTCTGCTCCAACATTTTGAGGACGTTTTTTTTTCCACAAGTAAGCACTACTTTGTGTTAGTATAACAACTTTAAAAATATGAAGAAGGCATCGTGTAAAAGTAGAAATGAATTCTAGAGTGCGTTACGAGACTTCTTACCACTTTTGTAACAGATCTCTCCCAGGCGATGGCCTTCTCCAGCTGAAGTAAACAAAGACAGAGCTGTGGAGCACTGCGGCAGCGATCCAGAGCTTGTCTCCACGTACGGAGTCGAGAGGTGATTTCACTCTCCAGACTGAAAGAGATCAACGTTAGCTAAAAGCGCATGCATCTCAACTCTGCTGTGAGCTAAAATCCTATTCTTCCTACCTGAACACATCTAGTGAAAGCTCCTCCCCAGGTGTTGGGGTGAGGGGAGCGAGGCGCATCACCTCAGACGGGTTCCACAGCGGCTCCTTCAGGTAGCGCCTCTCGATGTTTCTCTCCAGGTTGGCAAGCCGCAGCACAGCCAGATCCACCGGGTGGGTGGCGATGCGAGGCAATCCGGACCACTCCTTCTTGGTCCGAATGATCCAGTCGTCACGAGGGTCCACGTCATGCTCGTAGTACTGTAGGTCATCCCGGGTGGAGTCTGGATCTGGGAGGGTGTAGGGCTGGAAGGAGATGAAGGAGGTGAGGAGATGAAGTGCTGTTGGGAAATTTATTCAGGGCTGAACATTTGAAAAGCTCACCTGAAATTCTGGCAAAGGTGTTTCTGTGCTGTTCTCAGCATCTGTAAGCGCACCCTGAGGAGGCGCCTTAAAGGAAAACAACCAAAATATATTAATATCTCCTACCAAAATTAACCATAAAACAGATTGTATGAGTTTTTTTCAGACCTTCAAATGTAGATCAGCAGCAACAACCCTCTGCTCCAGATCCTCAACCCACTGAAGGGCGCTAATGTCCACCTCCATTGACTTCTCCTGCACCTGCCAGGGCTGCTGCAGAGCCTCCAGCAGAGCATCTTTGACTTCACTTTTCATCTCAAATATGGGATCTATTTAGAAAGGACAAGATCATAATACACAGAAACAGGCTGGCAGGTAATTCATGGGGAAAAGCCAGACAAGGAATCTGTTCTCACCATTTAAAGGTTTAGTACACATCTCAGTTAAGCTCTCCATGTGTTTGGCTAAATGCTTATGGAGAACCTTCTCTCTGATGCCCCTTGGATGGAGAGCCTGTAAGGTGCTGTAGAGTTCCTCTGGATCCTTGATCCACCACCATCCACGGACCATTGCTGGAATGCATTTTAGAAAACACATTAACAGCTATGCTTAACAGACTAAAGAAAATACCTGGAGAGCCTGTCACCATACATTTTAAAGCCTCGCTGTAGATTCTAAATTAACAATAACGTGGGAGGAGGATTGGAAGAACCTCCTGTCTCACTTCCCTGTTAATTTTGGTTGATGCAGAGACACCAGTAGAGTGAAGGGAGAGTCCTGTGGCGTATGGATAGAAGACGTCTTATGAATAAGCACCATAAATGAACTGAACAGATAAGCGGTTTATTGCACTCAGCTGAATTGCCATTAATGATAAGAGGAGACACATCCTGTACTGAAGTACCAAATAAAAAATGGGGTTATGTGGTCATTTTTTTTGCATGTTAGTCTAAAATCACTATTTTATATAGTCTGTAACTGTAAATTTGTAATGTTTTCTTTTATGAATTCTCTACACCAAAGAATGGCAATAATCCAGGATCGAAGAGAGGAGTGAGTTTATCAGTGTATGTGGATTGAAGAAAAAAATGCAGTGGTTTTCAGATCAAGAACTTCTTAAAAGGCTTTTTTGTGGAAGTTAAAAGAGAGGTGAGGGTTGAATCAGACTGCAATCTGGACTTTGACAAGGCCATTCTAACACATGGATATGCCGTGACCTAAACCATTCTGTTCTAGCTCTGGCTGCATGTTTAGTTTCATAATCATCAGCTCCTCTCTGTACCTGTTGAAGTGAAGCTTTCCTACAGCATCACGCTGCCATCATCATGCTTCAGGGGATAAGTGTTTTTAGGATCAGGAGTAGCTGATTTATGTCAGGTGCGGTGGAGTGAGGGCATTGCTTGATACTAGTAGCTCCATGATGGAGCTGCGAAATGTCTTCTTCTAAACGCTACGACTCTGATTAAAGCAGACCAAAGAAGAACAAGATAGCCTTTGAGTGTTGATGCTAAATGAAGGAAGCAAAGGGACTCAGAAGCCAACCAGAGCTTTCTGCATTCCTTGTGGACAAGTAAATAAATGTTTACTAATACCAAGCAACCACTGCTAAACAGTAGAATTAAGGGTTGGAATGAGAGTGGATCAGGAGGAGTTAAACCTCTACCTATCTCCTTTAACTTCAAATTTAAGCACCACTTTGTGTCATTCTATCGCAAATGTGCATTACTCCTTTTAAACAGGAGACTAATGCTGCGTTCACACCGGGGGCAGCAAAAGCAGCAAAATCGCGTCTGCTGCTTCATTTTTGCTGCTTGTACCAGTGAATTCTGACGCGCGTCTGATGCAGCTTTGCTGCTCTGGCTGCGCGGTCCAAAAGTGGGTCTGACGTGCGTTGGGCGGAGCTTCACTATCCTTTCTCTGCCTTGCAGCTATATTTGCTGTGATCAGTGGGAATAAATTAGTTTTAATATGTTTTTAAGTGAGAAAATACACCTGAAAACTTCATCAGTGCAGTCAGTTCATCCAGATTACAATCCTGCCTCCCAATATTATTTCTGTCGGAGCCGCTCAGACCCCCACCTACCGGCGGTGCGCCGACAGAAGGAATCCATTCATCAGCAGCCTATGGCCGGGTCGCCTCCTCGCGGTTTACCGCGGCGGCTGGTAGGTGTTTTTCATCTAAATAATCCGATCTGCAGGCATCAGGATAATAAAAGCGAACATATTCTGCCGGCAGATGTATATATTTTAAGTTAATTGTGCGTTAATAAACTGTTTAAGAGGAGTAATCAGAGCGGTCTGTGTCATCAGCGCTGTGTCTCTCTCCCAGCCAGCTCCCAGATCAGCTTCTCTGATTGGTTGACGCGGCGCGTCGAGCAGCAAAAATTCAATTTTTCCATCTCGAGCAGCAACGCGTTTGCGGCGCGTCAGATGCCAAAACGCGCCCGACGCGCTGCTTCAGCTGCTCAGACGCGCTGCGCTTGCTGCTCGAAACGCGCCGCGGGACCTTTTGCTGCGCCTTGACGCGCGTCAACCATTGACTTTGCATGTAAACTCGCTGCTTCTGTCGCGCCAGCTGCCCCCGGTGTGAACGCAGCATAATACATTCAGTAGTGTGACATCCTTATGTTTGGTTTTTAACAAAAGAAGAAGAAAATCTCGTCCTTACATGCTGGTATGGGCTTTACCACCAGTTGTGTAAAATATTGCTGCTCCAGTTCCTGGAAGACAGCATTGGGTGGGCGGCCGCGGCGCTTTGCTGCTGCTCCACGGGGCCCCCTGCGAGCAGGACTACTGCCTCTGCTGCCCCTCCTGCGCCTCCGACCCGGCCTTCCAGGGGTGACAGGAGCAGCTGGAGGTGGAACGACAGAAGCTGGCATAGGAGGAGAGGTTGTTGGTAGAGCAGAAGAGAGCACAGGGGGAGCAGGATCTGATGGGGTGACATCCTGTGGTGCTGTCGTAGTCACAGGGTCAGCAGGAGCCAAAGTAGGCAGCAGTGGGTCATGCTGAGCAGAGGAGAGGTTATATTTATTATCAAGTGCAAACTTTAATAGAAAACTGTTTTAACTGCAGCGGCAAACCTGCATGAGTGGAGCAGCAAGTGCAGGCAGAGCACTGGGGAGCTGAGGGAGAAGCTTAGGGGGCGAGCTGGGTGAGGAGGCTGTTTGGGGCTCAGTCAGAGAGTTCTCGTCACATGGCTGCTTGGGGAGAAGATTGAACCAGTGTCCTTGTTTCTCTGCCATCTCTTTGACGCTCTCCTCTGGCCGATTTCCTTCAGGGACTTCCCCCTCTGCTGAGCAGGCGCCATTTTTCATCACATCCTGGGACTGGCTCAGCCAGCTCTTAAAGGCTGCCTGTGTGAGGTCTGACAAACCGCTGCTCGGTGACCCTGGCCCTTCCTCTCCCACAGACCTGATGCTGCTTCGACGCCGGCGGCGGATCTTGGCCGTTCGGAGGTGAAGCTCAACTTCTGGTTTGATTTTCCGGGGGCGTCCGCGGCCTCTCTGCGTACTCATGAGGGACGCAGTCCCTGGAAGGGGGTCATCTTCCAGAGAAGCTGTCTGAGAGTGGCTCGGGGTAACAGTGGAAGTTGCAGGAGGAGCAGGAGGCGGTGGAGTGGTTGGCACTGGGATCTCTTCTACTTTGGGCTCCTTTTTGAGGAATGAGACGGGAACCTCAGCAACAAAGACTTCTCCAGAGGCTACAGGACAGAAAGTTATTTAATTAACAAACAATAAAAACAAGTTAATTCCCAAAGCTACCAGTGAGCATCAGACTCACCCAGCAGCTCCTCCGGGCCCTCCACAAGAACTCCTCCAAAGTGAGGAAGGGCCAAATATCTGCGACGGTAGCGGTCCTGCCCCAACATGATGACCCGCATGGAATGAGACGACTGTAGCAGCTTTTTACGGAAAAACGCTTGACGCTGAGGAAGGAGTCAATCTGATTAACCATTACCCAAAACAAATTAAGCTATGTGGTAGCTGCAGCCATCTTACCTTTGTTAGCTTATCTATCTGCCTTTCCAGCTCAGGGATGCTGGCGGTGGTAGGGCTCTCACTCTGCAACAAGGAAAACTCTCAATATCACAATAGCTAAGCCTCAGCACTAAAAACCCAGAGCGGATACACACATCACTGAGTTTGGGTTCTTCTTTCCGTCCACGTCTGCTTCCTCTCTCCAGCATTAAACCGCTCTCCTCCAGACTGAAGTTCTCCTCTTCTGCGACTCTGGCGCTGCGCCTCCTCTCCTCAAAGCACAGGTCCTCCTCAGAGCGTCCGGTGCGTCGGGCCAGCACTGATTTCAGTCTAGTGAACAGAATCCAAACATGAAAAAATTCATTAAAAAGACTTTAATGGGATGTCCGAGGAAACAGGGAAGGGTAAAAAAAAAACGGGGTGAGGGGGAAAAAAAAAAAAAAAAAAAAAAAAAAGAGTTAACGTACTTGTTTAGTTTTCTCTCAATGATCCATTTATTCTTCCTGTACGTCGCCATGTTCTCCAATGTGTTGTCAATGTCACTAAAACATGTAAACAAAGTTAGCTGGGTTATAAAAAACAATAAGAGGAGACAGAGCTTCACAGATATATTCATCGTCTGCATCAACGTCTCTTGTTTGGCGCTCATAGCCCAATTTCATTATGTTTTGGATTTTCTCTAAACCACACAGGCTTAGCCTACAGATCATAAATAGAGCCAAAGGCTGTGGTGTTATGTGGATTATTGACATCAACACGTTCTCCATAGGGTGGAAGTCATATTAGAAGCTTAATGTTAACCAACTTGGTATGAAGCATCCATGGGATCACTGCCTGGTTAAAACATCCATTTATGTCCAGATTTCAAAAAGCTGTTAAGCTGAAGGGATGATGAACAGTTTGGAGGACTCTAAAGGAAGTCTTCAGAAAAGAACACATTATCCTACCACCACCATGCCTGACAGTATGTAATGTGTTCTCTGGTTTCAAAGCATCACGACTCCTCCAGACGTTCATATTGTCCACAAAAATGATCAACTCCAAACTTTTATCCAATGATAAAAACAATCTTTTGGAAATAATAATAAAAAAAAAATAGTTCAGCTCCTAATCAGCTGAAAACAACGTCAAAATAACTTCACCTCACCGATGGACGTGATGAAGGTGTTCTAACATCTTTTTGTGTGTAACAGGCTAGAGTGGTGCTAGTTCCTTTGTTTCTATTATTTTATTAATGCTAAAGTAATCAAATTTGTTCTGAGAGGAAAAGTTTGGGAGAAAAAAAAGGAGATATCTGAAGCAGAAGAATATCAAGCTTCTGGTTTGGCCTTCACAAAGCCCCGACCATAACCCAGACCTGATGAAAGTCGGAATTATGCTACAAAATTTTCTGACGACTACAAAAAGCATGAAGCTTCTCTTTCATTTTAAGGTTTGCTTTTAACTTTTACTAGACAAAAGAAAACCCACAATAATTTCACATCGCTTTTTTGTAAATCAGAGTGATTCAAATGAATCATTAAAGCCTTTCAATCAATTAATCATCTGAGCCTCTGTCTGGCTTCAGAGCAGGCCTGACCTCGTCACGATGTTACTGCCATTCAACTCATCCACCAGGAAACCCAGGATGGCTGCCTTGGTGTCAGGAGGCAGGATGTGAAATGTTTTGGTCCTCAGTGTGTTGCAGACTTCATTCTCGTAGCCGTGAGACTCCAAATAGATACGGAGAACTTCTGAGACTGTGCTGCGGGTCAGCTCCAAATCCACCAACTTTTCCCCAAGTATCTTCACCGACTGCAGTTTGGGATCAGAATATATTACTTAAAATTAGATTTATGTGCTTATTAGCTTATTTAAAAAGGGACTTCAGCGTAGGTAACAGACCTGATAATAAGGTGGCAGGCCTGGATCGTGAAGCACTGCCTCCATCAACTTTATGAGGAGATCCTGGACTTCTCCTTGGCTGTCACCCAGACCAAGCAGACCCTCCTGCAGTGTAGAGAGGCTGGGAATATCCTTTGTCACGTTGAGTCCGATCAGCTTCCCATAAGCATGCAGAAACTCAACCACAGCCAGACAGTGAGCGAACGCTGGTCCAGAAAGAACCAAACCGGGGATGCGGGACAACTCTGGCAGAGGCTGGAGGATGGAGAGTGTTTAGAAATCTTCAAAGACTTAGAAGAGTTCAAATAAGAAGAGCTCTGCCAAGAACTCACTTTGTGATCAGTGAGGCACATGTCCTCTGTGGGCTTTTTCAGCTCCTCTGCAATCAGCTGCTGCCTCTTACGCTCCTGCAGACGTCTCTGAGCCTGGGCTCTCCTCTCTGCCGTCCTCTTAGCTGCTAAAGCGGCCTGAGCTGCTGCCTCAGCCTCAGCCTGGGCTTTAGCCAAGGCCTTGGCTTTGCTCCGAGCACTCACCGCCCTGTTACTCTGAGCCACCTTCTCCTCAGACGGCTGCTCACTGGGAGTGACGGCGTCGACTTTTACTGACCTCCGGCGGCCGGGCTTTTTGGGTTCTGCAGACTCTATATGTGTGAGCAGCGGAGCAGCTGGATCTGATGGATCAGTGACGCCTTCCAGAATTTTGAAGTCTTGCTCCAGCTTTAAAAAATAAAAAAAAGCAGAAATGTACACGCAAAGCTGAAGTGATGCCAACAAAAACACAGGAGTCGATCATTTAGTCTTTGTTTCCTGAAGTACCTTGGCTTTCTTTTTCTCCTCCTTCATCTTCTTAATTTTTAAATCCTCCCTTCTCTTCATTCTGGCCTGAGAGAGAAGCAGAAACAGGAAGATGTGATCTCATATCAGAGAGATGAGACAGTTTAACAAGCCAACTCAAACCCGCCAGGATGACGTACCTTTCTTTTCATTTTCTTTTTGATCTTTGCTAGTTTCTCCTTCTCCTCCTCTGTGAGAGCTTCTGTAAACGATCACAGGCAGCAAACATCAGAAAGTCATGTCTGCTCTCCAGAACAATTTATGCGTTTTAGGAGCTAAACATTCTCTCACCCTTAGCCTCAAGTCGCTTCAGCAGCTTGGCATCGACTTTGCTGAGGAGGTCGACGGCGTTGAATTTGGGGGGTCTTCCTGGGCGGCGGCCCTGCCCTCCCTTTAGGCTGCTAATCTGGCGAGGTTTCTCTTTGTCAGGGTTCGGAGGTCGACCTCGCCGACCAGTGATGGCCATGATCATTGATGGAACTTCCTCATTAGCTAGAAGGATCCACTCTGAGCCCTGAATGCAAAGGGGAGGAGGTTATTTCTACTGTTAACTTCACTCTGTTTTTTACATTAGAAAAAGAACTTTTCACAGAACTCAGATTGGATGAAAGCATACCTCGGATTTTTTCCCTTTTAACTTTGCCGCTCTGACATAAATATGCTTTCATCTAAACCAGGACAGTGTTCTGAAGCTGTTAGATGTTTCTCTGCTTTAAAAATACTTCATTGAGATTTTTGCACTTTAGTAAAAGCCTGTTAAACAGCCATTAGTGGAAAACAGACTAATCTTAAGGATGCAGAACATCTCTCCTCGAGAACTTAAGTGTGAACGCTTTCACCGTAGCTCTGGATTTATGTTATAAGTCTGTTCCCTGAGCTTCAGTAGGAAACCTCTTTTCAGCCTCTAATGGCTTTTCTTCCAGCGTATCCCTAAAATTTGCTCCATGAATCTTTGCATTTACAGTGATCGCTGCTGAGGAAAAGGATCCCCACACCTTGATCCTGCCTCTGTTGGGATGAAGAGCCAACAGTGATTTTCTGTCTTAGTTTTCTTCCACACATGGCATCAACATCTAGGCTAAAAAGCTAGTTTTTGTCCAATTAGACTAAATTATCGTTCATGTGTTTGCTGCACATAACTTAAAGGAGAACTTTAAGTTTCAAGAGGACTTGTGTTCTTTTCTTCTTGCAGCTGGTCCATAAAAGAAAAGCAGCCTGTTAACAGATGATCCCCCTTAACAGTGGATCCTTGGAGCTCCTCCAGTTTTATACCACATCCTTGTTTTAAACTTATTCAGGGTTTATCTCCAAGATGCTGTTACTTCATAAAAAAGTCAAATTAAGTTAACTTGAATATGTCTGTTGTACCTCGGAGGTTTCTCTCTCTTCGTAAAAATCTCCAACAGGCATGCGTGGGCTGAAGCTGAAGTGCTCTCTGGAGACCACACCATCCGAGTGTTTCTTGAGGTACTAAAATGAACAACAGGATTGTTCAGCAAACATCAAAAGGTTAAAGAAACATCACTGTTTGAGAAAACAAAAGATGTAGATATAAGCGCAGGCACAGTTAATAAAGCCACCTTGATGATTTCTGGAAACTGCTTCATCCTCCTTCCGCAAGGAGTGTAATACCAGGTTTCCCCCTTCATGCGGTTGTCCATTTTCTTTACACGAATCTCCCTCCGCCAACTGAAAACATAAATACTTGGTTTAACCACATTCAGGAAACAGGAAGCAGCAAAACATGGTGTGAAGATGATCTGTGTTTGTCAGTGTCCACTAAATAAATCATTAATTGATGCCAAAAGCTGATTACTTTTTCAACAGTATGAATCACACGATTTAAGCCTTTGGTATTTATCCAGGGTTCCAAATAACCCCCTCTCATATTTCCATTTAGATTTCAATACAATAAAAGTTTTTGAAACAAAAAAATGCAATCAACATTTTCAAATTAAATCCAAGTTTACCTCGTTGCAGCTAAAGCAACAGGTTTACCTCCTGGATGAGATGTTGATTTAAAAGAACTCTAAAAAATATCTCCTCACATTCACGCATGCTAGGAATAAATACATCTCAGTGAAAATGGATCCTTAAAGGCTGGTTATACTCCCACAGCAATGTGTCGCAGTGAGCTTGTCGCAGATATTTTAGATTTATGCCCAATATTGAAGCGTGGTCTATGGGTGTTATTCCACAACGCTAGAGGGACAATCACGAACTATCTGTGGGTTGAGTCTAGGGGTGGGTATTGCCAAAGAAGTTACGATTCGATTCGAATCACGATTCATAGGCCACGATGCGATTCTATCATGATGCATCACGATACTTGAATTATTGCGATGCATTGCAATATTTTCTCCTCCATGTTTTGTTTTTGAATGACTCGGCGCAGTATCCCGCGGCCGGAAATGCTTGTGACACAAGGCAGCGTGTGTCAACACATCCGCAGCGACATCTACTGGACTGGAATTTGTAATACACTTGTTTTTGGCTGATGTTCGCCAACCATTCATGCAATTTTATTTATTCATTTTTTTAAATTAATAATCGATACTTGGCGTCAAGAATCGATGCAGTAGATCACGAAAATTAGAATCACGATGCATCATCATGACGATTATTTTGCACACCCCTAGTTGAGTCGGTTAAGAAGTGGGGGGAAGTTTGTGCGACAATGGATGGACATGAGGGTGAAAAAGAGCAGGGATCCAGGTGGAAAAAGGGTCCCACAATAGTGGTCATACAAACAAAACAAGCAGGTAAGGTACCAAACAGGATATACGCATAATGTAGAGCGGATGTAGATTAGACCAATTAGAGGCCTCCTGTCTGCGATCACCTACAATCATGGAGAGGTGCAACAGAGTGTCTGCAGCAGAGGCGAGGGCACATTTGCGTTTACTGCGACACACATGCAGACAACCTGAGTATAAATAAGCCTTTACCCGTGCTGCAGGGCGAACTGGACCTGCTCTTCTGTTGCAACACGTCGTCTGTTCGATTCCCCTGTTTAGAAAAGAAGAGGCAGATCAGAATCCACCAGATCATAGAGAATCATCAGATGTGTACAAGAAAAATCTGTGCTCGATTCATTACCGGCAGTAGAGCTGTCATCATCGTTTTCATCAGCACCATTGGCAGCCGTTTCTTCACCTCCTTTCTGAGAACTCGCCATGCTTCCATCTTGATCTTGTTTTCTGACCCGCTTCCTCTTCTTGGGTTTGCCCGCTGCTGTGCTAAGAGATGAAGTGTTGGCCAGAACGGCATCAATCGCCACCATTATTGGATCCACCTCCTGCGCCAGTGAGCCGCTCTCCCCCAGCATCTCTTTAACATCAACCTTGAGAGTTTTCTTCCTTCTTCTGCCCACAGCTGCTTGTTCTTTAATCCCTCCATCTTCATCAGCCTTTATCTTCTCTGCTTTGGGCGTTCGAACCCGGGGCTTTCGCAGGTTCCCCTCTGGAGCTTAACAGGGGATTTTCAAACAGGCTTTTTAAACATTTTAAAATAGCAATTTCCATGTTTTTATAGATTTCCTATTTTTTTAGATCCATATTTTATAGAATTCTTAACTTTTCTGCATGTTCTATAAATCATTAAACACAAAGCTGCTGTTGGTTAACATCTGGACAGTAAAGGATCAGCTCTGTTATTGTTAGTGAAGCAAAAAGATGTTTAAATACTTTGTTTGATCTGAATATTATTATAGATTTATTGTCAATGAATATGTGTCTATTTATGGCCTCTGTGTGACACAGACCTAAATAATCAATACATGGAACAAAAATTTATTTATTCATATATTTTTATGTCCAATTTATTTATGTCAAAAACAGTCATATCTAATATTTTCCCCAAACCTTATAAAACATATCTATCGTTCACTTTGACTAAAAAAAAGTTGGAATACCTGCAGTGTTACTCTGTATCGTCTTAGAAGCTCGAGGTCTGCGTGGTTTCCCTGGGGATTTCTGAGGATCCACAGCTTCCCCGGTCTGCTCGGATATGGGTTGGATCGGCTGTACGGCTGCGCTTTCTCCATGGCTGCTCAAGTCTACAAGGTCGTCACCATCTTTCACTGGGAGACTTGGGGTTTCTGTATCCTCTGTGTTGCTCTTATGGATGTTTCCAGCCGAGTCTGGGGCATCGTGTCCGTTTAGTTCCCAGTCTCCTTCAGAATCTGACACCAAACAACATCAAACGGTGTTAAAGGAGATTTCTTTAGCAACAGTATGTTTGGAGATACAGGGTTCTTACAGGTTTTCATGTCATATTTCCAGAGTTTTATCGGTCTTAAACCACTTTTCTTAATATAAGGATTATAATTCCCATTTAGTTCACTGAAGATGTAATGATTTACATATCTGAACACAGAAGAAAGGAGGAGAGGGGGAAGGACTACATGACAGAATGAAGGACGATTGATGGACTAATGGATGAAATGCTAAAAAAAAAACGTCCTCAAATTAGGATTTTTTTTTTTTGGATTCAAGCCAATCCAGACTAGGAAAACATATTTTGCTATATAAGACTAACGGGAAAATATATTAATGAAATTCAAAAGTACCTTGAAGAGCTGGCTGTGGGCTGTTCACGTGACCAGAGTCCACAGGTGGTTCTTCCGTCTGACTGGTGGTGTCTAAGGAAGACTCGAGAACTGAACCATCCGTAATCTGGCTGCTGTTTCTAGTCACTTCCGCCTCAGAGTTCTCCTCTTCCCTGGTCGACTCCATGGTTTCATCCCTGGAGTCCTCCGGTGAGAAGCTGCCTTCTCCAGAGCTGTCAAATGTAGCAGATTGTTCCTCCTCAGCGCAGGAGGTGTTGTCAAACTGAGAGGAGTCAAACTGAGCAGAATCACTAAAAAAGGAGGGATCATGTCCTGTATAAGAGCTTGAACAGAGTCTAGAGGGGGAGTTGTATGTTGACTTGTCATCGTAATAACAGCCAACATCGGAGTTTTCCAAGCTTTGCTCATCCGTTTGATGTAACTTCGTACTTTGGAGCTTTCCTATTGGGGTGGATGCCACAGGAGAGTCCTTTACCTCTGAGGTGATGCTGCTCTTCTCCACTCCTGTTGATGCATTTCTCTGATTTTGTTGGGAGGTTTGTAACGGTCTTTCAAGGGAATCAGTGAGAGGTTTATTTGGGCAGAGTTCTGGCCTCTTAGCTTCAACCACTGCAACATTAGATGACAAGATCTCCAAATCCACCTCGGGTGAGTTTTCCTCTGGTTTTCCAATCCTCTCATTCTCCACTGCATTCTTGTCCTCACTGGGAATGCAATGCTCTGACTTCAGAGGCGTCTGCACAGACACAGAGGGAGTAGTGGGGTTTGGAGGACGATGCTCAGCGGCAGAATTTCCAACAGCTCTAGGAGATGTACCTATCACTGGGGGCATGGACACCAAGGCGGGAGGGCTGGACAGCGGTGCAGTCCTGGAGGCTTGAGTGGTTACAAGAGGTAGGGTGAATGGGGGTTGGGCTGGAGAACCAGTTTGGGCAGTGAGAGAGGGGGCCTTCACCAATCTAGGTGGCGTTGATGCTGCAAAAGCAGCGGAAAGACTTGTGTCGACAGACGGAGGAGTGTGTCTCCGATACTGCGAAGCGGAAGTTGATTCAGAAGGTTTACTGGCGCCTGGAGGCGTTCCTGCACATGATGTTGATAAACTGGGGGCAGATATAGTAAAAGGTGGAGAGGCTGGGATCTTAGAAGGCGCTAAACTGGGAGGTGAGGAATTTGTAGGAGCGGATATCAACCTTGGCGGAGCAGGTATTTCATGCTGACCTCCAAATACATTGGTGGAAGAAGTTGGCAAGACTGGCTTGGACCCTTGAACAGTCGACATCCCTGGAGATGTAACGGATGCTGAGTGAGAGGAGACTATAGCCGGAGGGGAAATACAAGAAGCAGGAGGAGGAGACTTTGTTTCACCACCCAAAGACTCAGATGAAGACTGGGATGGATGGATTGCAGAAACACCTGCAGGTTTTGACATGCTCTCATTTGAGATTTTTGAATGTGACTGAGGCAGTGAGAAGGGGAGTCCCTGTGACGGATGCTTCAGCGTAGATGTTTCAGATGCTCGAGAAGTAGGAGACATCAGGCCTTGAACTAAAGCAGGAGGTGAAGAAATCCTAGAAGAAGCAACAGAGGATGGAGGAAATTCCACTTCCATATCACTGAAGAGAACTACAGGAGGTCCAGAGGCAGATGTTGGAGACCCAGAGGGATTAGAGACCCCCGACGATGCCGAAGCCCTCAAAAGAGATATCGTACTTCCTGGATTGGATGCTGAAGGTTGAGACGACGCAGGCTGGAGATGAGAGGAAACCACTGCATCTCTGAGTGTGGGTTTAGCATCCGGATGCAGAGCTGCTGGTTGATCTGAGTATTGACGATAATCCCTTTTAGGACTGGCGTGAGGAGTAGTGGGTTTGAGTTGGTAACTGTCCGTCTTTGGTGACCTCTGGACAACAGGCGATCTCTCATTGGCTGTATGGTTTGGATCGAGCTCCTTGACAGCTTCCCGGGAATGCCCTAATAGAGAACATTTAAAAATGATTAGTTCACTGACCTGAAAAAAGTATTCTGGGACTTCATCTCAAAATATAGGATCTTATGAATGTAGAGCATTTTCTTTACAACCCCTGATAACGATGTGCATTAAACCTGAAATAAATACGTGTTTTGTTCGATTTTTAGCTTAATCCAGCTCTAAATTCAGACAATAGTCAACTCTTTCATTTAGTAGGTAGATAAAGAGGCCCCTTGTACTGTCTTACCATCAGGTTTAAAAAGATTTTTTTTTTTAAATGGTGAGATTATGTTTTCAACATGTAATAGGCTTTTGTTCCGTCTTTAACAGAGATCAACTAAGTAACATTGTAGATAAAAATCCTTCTGCTTCTTAGTTCAAATCAAAACAGTGACACCTGCTGGTCATACATTAACATTACACCAGTGCTAAGCTGTTCAAATTAAAATACTCAAGAAAAGTTGCAACCGAGTGCCCTTCTCCACCTTAAACTTTAACAATATCTGCAAAACTGTGAGTTTCCAGTAAAAAAAAAATACCATAACCAACCGTAGCACAAAAATCCTGTATTCAGCAGAAGCCATCATGTCATTATTGGCAAGGCAGAAATAAAACCAGACGGCTACAATGACTCATGACCTGACATTAAAAGCAGGAAATGGATCTTAGATCAGGAAGGTTTGAATTGTCACTAAATAAAGACAAGATGCAGAAGTACAAACCTTTCAAAAAGAAAGATCTATTTTTAGGCAAAAACATAACAAAACATGACAAGAATACAAATGAAAGCATCGTAATTTAAAAAAGGGTCACCTTGCAGAGGAGAGGACATCCCTACTCTGCTAGTGTCGGGGCTTCGATCCCTGCCGAGGCCTTTGGGTGATCTACTGTCCTGGATTGGTGGTGACACAACTGGTGTTTGAGAAAACCCCACAGGCAGGGGACTGCTGCTGCTCCCTCTGCCTAGGCTGTGGTGCTGCGGGCTACCACGTGGTGGAGTGAAATTCTGGGCAGCTGGGGGCATCATGTGAGTCTGAGATCGTGGCTGAGAGAGCTGTGGGGAATGCTGCTGGGGAGATGGCAGAGAGGAGGGCTGGGACTGATGCTGGTAGAAGGGCATCCCGTTTGTCATCATGCTATAGTGCTGCTGCTGCTGGTGGTGATGGTGAGGCTGATGGTGGGAGAGTTGGGGTTGTTGAGATGGTTGCTGTTGTAAGGTCTGCTGCTGGTGATGTGGGGAAGGTGTAACGCCAGGCTGAGACTGACTCTGGAAGGCCCCATACATGCTGGCAGGATTATAACCCATCTGCTGGGGGCCAGGGTTACTCCGATTCCAATACTGAGTAGCGCCTGTTGGAGGAATGTTTCCTTGGCCTGTGATAGGAGACTGATGTGAGGCTTCCACCCCCCCATTCAGTTGGTACTGTCCGTGACTCTGGAAGTGATGCTGAGCCTGCGAGACACCAGACGCCGGCTGCTTCTGGTGCACCCCCTGCCCCGGCGATGTGCCCATCCCTGTGCCGTAGTGAGGTTGTCCTGCCCACAGGTAGTCGTAGCTCACGCCGCTCTGATGGTGGCCGCTCATGTGCGGATAAGGATTTGATGGGGGGTGCGAACCAGACACACTTGACCCGAGTACAGTAGTGACGCCATTCACATTCATTTCGCCATTCAGATCTGTCAGAGAGCAAAAATAAAGCTAAAAATCATGTTTCAACTGTGAAACAGGTTCCTAATTGCAAAAATATTCAATAAGAGTTTGTTTAAGAAAATGAGTGAACTGATTTATTTCAACAGAGGTTCTATATTGTACCACTAATACGTTACTTTCCAGCTAACACTGATCTTGAAGTTTCCTAAGTTCATTTGCAAAGTATTATACAAAAATCTGCTATATCAGACATTAAATAAACAAATCAGCAGTTCTTCTAAAGTGCCAGCAGTGCAGCCTATTATTCCGTGCAGGATAACAAGGCCATTGGCGCACAATTAAAAACAAGGGAGATTCTTCATAGGTTAAAACTATACAGTTACTAATATTCCCATCTAAAACATCCAAATAAATTAACCTCATAAACTCAACACTCCATTTCAGTCTCTGCAATTCTCAATAATAAAGTTGAGGTTAGAATAGAATCACACCTGGATCTACAAAGTTATGTTTGACTGACCCAGAAGGTCTGTTTACACATCAGCTGTGAACCCTGATGGTGGAGCCATATCTTTTAATATAGCCTTTTCTTTCTATATCTATCTATCTATCTATCTATCTATCTATCTATCTATCTATCTATCTATCTATCTATCTATCTATCTATATATACACATACAAAAAAAAAAATTAACTGCAATGATTAAATAATGTGCAGCACTCTAGATCAGAAACTACAACTTAGAAACAATATATTATGTTAACAGGTGCTGCACTGCATGAACGGTTAAGTCCTTTAAGTAGTAGAAACAACATTAATACACCTATCAGGCAGAACATCATTTTAGATCATTTACAAATGGAGTCCCCCCTACTCACAGTGAGTTCTAGAAGCACAAGATCTATATCCAGCCATTCAACAAAGATAGTGCTACATGGCTCTACATCTTAATTTGGCATTTGAACAATTAGATGAGTCTTTGAAATATATTACCTACTGCAAATTAAGTTGGAAAAAATGTAAAAAGCTAATTGTTGAAGTTAAAAAGTTAATAAGCCTAGTTAACAATTATATTTAGGTTTATAAACTAAAAAATGTAAGTGCCACTATCAACATTAATGCCTCTAAGGTCATGTTGTACCAAAAAAATGCATTTCTTTCACTCTCAGTGTTTTTCATGTATTTCTTATAGAAGCATTTTTGTTATTTTTCTTAAAATATTCGGGCAAGTTGGCGTTTCTTGTTATTACATTGACATTATTTTTTGCCATCAAAACATCAATATTTTTAATGTTACAAAGGTAACAAGGTCTTGTCCTGGATTCCAATAACACTATTGGCTTGAAACTTGGATTTTCAAAGTATTTCACTGAGTTCCCTAAAAAGGGTTAAAATTAATGTCTGAGATATGGGCTGATGGAAGCTGACAAAAGCCCAAATATGATGGTTCAGAAAATTGGGTGAAGAAGCTCTTTAGGGAAAAGTGTCCAAGGTGGCAACAGGTAACATGATTGGTCCAGGTATCCCATTGCGGACAAAGCAATGACACATTTGACCTAGGTTTTAATAAAAAGCTAATAAAAACTTTGCAGTTTTTTGCATAGCAGACAGCATCATTTAATGAAATACTAAAGAGCATCAAAACCAGCATTCGCTGATGGCTGCGGCCTCTATCTACAGATCTATTTGACACGATTTTAGTGGACAGAAAAATCACAACTTAAGAGTACCTAAAAATGTGCACCCGGCATATTGGTGCCAATCAAAGTAGTACAGCCTGGTTCTGGTAAAGCCAGGTTAGATTATGCAGGAAGCATCATTAGTGTATAAGGTTTTGGTACACAGAAAAAAAAAAAATAAAGACCAAATACTCACTCTTCCCCTGCTGGGGAAAACTCATGGAGGACCCGTTAGTGTAGAGAGAATCCCCTGAGGAGAGTTTCAGTCCTGAGTTGGTTGAGGTGCCATAGTTAAAATGATTATTTGAGTCCATCTGCACAAACAATTCAAGCATAAATACAAATCAACACACGGCGCAAAAATGTATGAAACTCAAAAATATTCCATTTTAGTGATGTTTGATCTAATCGTGTTAGTCCATCTGGTGTGATTTGGAACCAGCCGTTAAAATGTCGCAGCAGCAGCAGATGCCAGGCCCCAGAGAGGAATATTACGGTAAAGCTTATCATTACCGCTGCTAATACGGGTAGAAATTAAAAAATAATCATAATTAACAGTAGAAACAGAGGCAGTAAGACAAGAGAGGAGAGTGTGGGTGCGAGGGGATAAATGAACAATGTAGTGATGTTTTTAGAGAGCCTTTAACGACATCGGTCACTGTTTTACCGGTTTTCGATAGTCCTCCGGGATCTTGATTTCCTAATTCAACGAGGCCGTTGCAACAGCGAGCGCCGCGTTAGCTTAGCGCCCGTAAATGAAACAGCCACTACTTTAACCCGCTGCCACTCCGACAGCCATTCCATCTATTAATGTTGTATTAAAGCGCGAGCGGGTCCCTTCAACTTTTTCACCCCAAAATGCAGTGTTGAGAATATCAACACAGCACCCCCCAAGGTTATTTAGCTACATCATCACAAAAGAACAAAGCTAACAGATAAAGCTAACTAATAGCATCCTTATCCGGAGTAAGTAGGCTGCAACGTTAGCAGGTACCCCAACCACGCTGGTCTATCCCGAGGCGAATGCAGACAAGATTCAAGCCGGTTTGTTAAAAATATACACATGTAAACGACGAACTCACAAAAAAGGGGGACTCTCGGATTAATTAACGTAAGCGTACTGCCTTTTAATGACGGGCTAACGTTAGCTAGCAGCCAGATGAAGTTACATTGTTTACGCACACAGACAATTTGTGCACAGCATCATCCACCTACACCGCCACCATCCAAAGTTTCACCGATATCCCAGTGAAAAAAAGGCCAACCTTTTCTCTCCTTGGGTTCCGAAGCGCAGACGGCTCTAAACCCCCCTCCAGTTAACGTGTCCGCGTAAGTGAAGATGACACAGCGATAAATTATAAACAACTATTCCCTAACCTTTGGGTTTTAAATTAGCAAACATGGCTGTTGAGGTCCGGTGCAGCCATGATCACAGAACGGAGTGAGGCTGGAGTGCGTTCAAGTCCCGACAATGGGGCGCGCGCACATCCGGTTCAAGTTTTCTAACAAAGTTCAAAACGCTTTTGTACACAGAGAGCAGGGAAATAAAGCGGAAAAAAACAGAGACAAATATATTTAAATAAAAGCAAGCAATTATATTGCTTTATTAAAAAAAAAAAATCTGCTTTAGCCAAAAATAATATAAATGCATATTAACCGGGAAAATTATTATTTCTACCTACTAAGCATCAACATGTATTGGTGGGTCATTCATTTCATCCAAATTAAAGGTTATAGAATGCTCAAAGTACTTGCAGTTCAAAAGAAAAGTTTAATATTTATGTTTTTTTTAAACATCAAATCAAGCCACTTTTATTTTAATGTGTAGAAACAGGAAGCTGCATCATTGCATCTTTTCACAATTTTGTCTTAAGTGGCAATCTGTGAGGAAATCGGGCCTAAAGAGGAAGTATGCTAATATCATTTTCTAGGCCTTAAAATTCCCCGTGCCATCTGGGTCCTAGCGCCGACCAGTTCATTGAGGTGAGGAAAAACAACATCAGTTAATTAGCCTGTTGTAATTAAAAAAATATTGTGTTCAATGACAAAGTGACAAAGACAAGAGGTTGTTTTGCATTCTAATGTGTTTTCTTTGTAGAAGTAAACCAAAATGAAAAGTAAAGCACCATTTCAGTAAGTTGTAGATGTTTACCTGGAAAAAGATTTCAATCTTTATTAGGTCCTGAAATTATTTCAACACAACTTTAAGGGTACAAAATAAAATCCCCACCAGATTACAAACTGTAATGGTTGCAATTAATTAAATAAATTCAATTAAACGGAATTATTGGAATTTTATGTTATGTATCACAACGAGGTGTGGCGTCATTTTTGAAGTGGAAGGAAAAAAGTTCAGGTTTCTTCATTTTCATGTGCAAATAAAAACCTTGAAAATGTGGAGTACATTTGGATTAAACCTCTTTGAGTGAAGTTTGTGCAGAACCCTTCAGCTTTAAATATTTGCACATATTTGCCTTTTCTTTGCAAATTAGCTGGTGAAGATTCTCAGTAATCCAGGTCATAGTCATTCCAAAAAAGTAAAAAAAAAACCAATTCACTGGACGTTTTGCTTCCCATCCAGGAAGCTTTATCAATTCACAATGTCATGTCATGCAAATTGACTTAATATCAGACTGAATGGAGGACCTGTTTTAAGATTTAAAGAGATTCCAAATATGAATTATGTAAGGACTTTGACATCCTATCACATTTCAGCCTGTATATTTCAGTACCCTAGTCAATCCATAAACCTGTAATCTACTCTCTAGCCTTAACTTATCTTCCAGTCAGTGAAACTTCCCTCTCCATCCTGGAGGACCTTTATGGAACAGTGAGGGGATTCAAACATCTTACCATGCACCAGTTGATTTTGATTTCCTTTTCAATATATATATATATTTTTTTTTTACATTTCTTATGACCTCTTTCAGTCCAGCTACCAACTGAGAGCCATCGATCGGGTTTCTGACCTGCTGTTTTCCTATTAATCAGTCATTTAAGCATTTTTAGCAAGGACCATTTAGTGCAGCAACCTTTTATTTCCTCCCTTAAAAACAAAAAAACATGCATTCTACATATACTATTAGTTCCAAATCTCTTGAAAAACTTCTTATTTCCTTCAATTTATATTTTACTGGATGTAGGCCAAACTTTATAATCTGTCCATCAGTTTCATATTCTGTTAATTGACTGGGATTTACTCTATTAGCTGACCCCCCAATGATTTCTAAAAAAGGGCTCAAGTCATGTTTGTGATTTCAAAAAGTTAAACCATGTATCCTTATTATACAACTTTGGTCCACTGAAAAAAATAATGCAACTGCTTTTGGCATTCACTTACTCATATTTAGTTACTTTAACACAATTGTTCTGTGTCCTACCCTGCTAACATGAAATGCCAAAAATGGTTGCGATATTTTTTTTTCAGTGCAAGAACACTAAAAGCAATTGGAAGTTATCATAAAGACATAATACTAGTACAAAAGGCTCAAATTCACACCTGTAGCTTTTTGATTCTTTGACAAAGTATTAATATCTGTCCAATGCTCATATTGGTCTTCCAAATCTAAAACTAACCAAAGACACAAACAATAACTGGAACCCATTGATTCTTAAACTGTTTATTAGAAAGATGTAGACAGTAAAAAAACAAAAACATTTTCACTGTAATTGAATAGTACTTGCCTCCCCCTTAAACAGTGCAAATATGATTTGGTCATTACACTTTAGTTCCAAAAATGTCCAAAACAGCAAGGAGTACGGGTTAAAAGAACAAAACTGTAGAAGAGCAACAGACCACACAATTCTGAGGCTTAACCAAGTTCCATCTCTTTTTATCAGTCCAAAAAAAAAAAAAAAAAAAAAAGTTCCCTCTTATCAGAAATATCTGCACGTTAGGCAACAGTATAAGAGAGGAGCTGTTAAACCACCAAAAATAATAGATTTCAACCCGTTTGTGCAGGAGGTGACAACTGGAGAAATGAATGTCATCTTGCAAAGATTTCAGATTGATCCCGTTATACAAACATTTAACGAGAAGTGAAAAAAGGAAACATGTAAGCCGCAAGGTAAAGCTACAGATACAGGTACTGACTTCCTGGATATCTAAATTACAGCACATGGAAGGCTTCAGCGGACCCAATCAGTCGATGCATCTACTCCTTAAAATCATGAGATACACTACACTGGTCGACTACCTTTAATACCACAACATAACCGGTAGGAAGGTCTGATCTTTTTCAAACTATTCATTCGGGGAAAGAAAAAAAATTCATCAATTCATCTCTCCTAACACATTTTACTCAGTTGGATAAAATGACAGTTGTTCCCCAACAGATAAAATGTTTGCTTAGTTGTAATATTTACTATTAAAACAAGATACCCCAAAAAAGATGCAGTACGGCGAATGGACGTGGAGATAGCTGCTCTGTACAATACCAAGCATAGTTGGACTGACTGGGTGAAGAGCTTGGAGCTGAAGCTATGGATTTAAATATGGCTACGGACTCATATGTACAGCTGTTTCACTGCCTTCGGTTTCAAGATATACATTTGTTAAGATCCCCCCCAATCCCCGTTCTTCTATCTTCTTGACAAAGTTTTAACGTCTTCTACTCCAAGTCGGGCATTTCTGAAAGTGAAAAACAAAGGCATAATTAAGTCCATTCATTGGAAATTATGGCTCCAGCTGTACAATTTATGAATACTTACTTTCATCGTCGCTATCTTCAGAAGATTCTTCCTACAATTTACAGACAAAAGAAAAGGGGGAAAGATCGGATTAAAAGACTTAATTTGAATCTTCTGGATTTCCTGCCTCATTGTGAGTGTATACATTTAAAATTTACAATAAAAAACATATCCTTTAAACTATTGAAACTGTTGTTTTGTCTTTCTGTCGCTAATTAAACAGCCCAGTATGAAAGGCTGCTGTGCAGTGTGAGATTTGCTCTAAAAGAGATTGAAAACAATACATCATTAACCGCCTTCAAGATCTAACGTTTTAGTCTTACCACTACATTTATGTTCATGTAATGCATGCGGTGCTTTGTTATGTCCTGCTGTGGAATAAATCCGTAAAACCAACTTAATTTCAAAGCTCAGTTTATCTATTGTTTTTATGTTTAGTCGGCAAACAGTGTCCTCAACCTTACTACCAACAATCTGAATGATTAGTTTATTATTTCACTCCTGCAAACTTTTAGTCCAAATGTCTTCCCAGATTTTAACATTTTAAGACCGCTGCATTAGTAGGTCAATCTCTTCAGTGGGATTATTGAAACCAAGTGTTTTCAAATTGTTTGTTTTTCTTTTTTAAGATATCCAACACTATTGTTTAGGGCAGGAAATGTAGGATTAATGTATGCATTTGTTCAAAGGTGTGTTTTATTTTGAGTGATTAATAATATAGATTTTTAAACAAAAATGACTGCCTTTAATTGTATTTTTCTATGCATATTAAAATCCAGGGCCGGGCTAAGTCAGGTATGGGACTTTTTTTACATTAAAACCATGACTAGCAAAGCACACTCAGTCAAACCCACAATGTTTACTGGCACTGGCAATCAGGAAGGAGTAAAAAAAGGATTCCTCATAGTAAAGCCACCTTACCTACCTGATTAAAAAAAACGAGTCATTTATGTTAGTAGCTAGCTTAAAAACAAGAAGCATCACATGTATCTGCATTTTAATTGCACTATGTTGCACACTGAAAAGACAATGTTAAGCTCTTAAAAAGGCAACGCTTAACACAGAGCTCTACTGTCCAAGAACTAGATTAGAAATTATACTAACTTTTTTTTTTTTAACAGCAAATGCAATACTATTAAAGGCAATATTGTATATCATGTTGTATCTCAAACTGATAAAAAATAAATATTTGTGTTGCTGTACTGATGTGTTTATTTGATAATTTGGGAACACATTTTTTTTGTTTGTTTTTTATTGAAAATTTTATTTTTTTGTTATTAAATGGCATGTCAATTAATCAATTACAGAACCTTTGATTAACTTGATAAGAAAAAAATAATAACCAAGTCCAAATACCGCAATTACTGAGCCGGTGTAGAAACATTTGTTAAGTTATTTATTTTGTTTTACTTAAGATAGAAAATCTAAAGATTACAAAGAAGCGCAAAGTGTAAAAAAAAAAAAAAAAAACCTTACCTCATTTGCACCATCTAGATCAGGCATGCCATCGTCTCCTCCCATGTTGTTCATCATCTGCAACATTCAAATCAATACAACATTCAGTATTAAATAGTTTTTGAGCCAAAGCTCCTAACTCAAGATAATAGCCCATATAATAATAATAATTTAAAACGAAATTATATAGGGTGCTATTAAAGAAACCTGGTCTTCATCAAGTACCCCATCCATGTATACTGGTTACCAACTAATTAATTAATTTAGAAGGTGACTGACCTCTTAATTAATTGACAAGCAGCCATTTTCTTGAG